ATATTTGTGTGTGTGTGTCCCGGGCTGCTGCTCAGCTGTATTCTAATGTGGCTTTGATCATTGTTGCTGTAAAGAGCGTGTGGCACTGAGGCATTCCTCCGCTGAGACCTCGCACAAAACCCCTTCAGACTGCAGCCAGTCCTGCTGCTGTACACTCACCATCTGGAGCAGATTGTGACGATTCATTCAGACCACTCTGGCACTTTCTTACCTTTCAATATGAAATACTTGAACTGGGTTTGAAATTTTACAGAAAGGTTGCCCTTAAAAATTACTTTGACAGTTCTCACAATCATTTATGTTCTTTGAAAGCTGTATGACTGACTTCCACAGAACACAGAAGGAATAGCTGAACCACTTTTTCCATAAATGAAAGCTGTCAAGCCTTAAAAAGGATGAAAAAATACCCATAAAATGTATGAATACAATGTGTTTGAGGAACAGAATGAAATATGTTGTCGTCTCCAGTACAGCTCATAAATAGAAATTGAATGATATATTTTTTTAATAAACAATATTGATTATTTGCACCGATATGCACTGATTATTTGCACCGATATCTTGATAACCAATATGCAGAACCGATTGTTTCACTTTTGTTTTAGTCACAGTTGTTAGCATTGAACTGAACAAACTGTTTATCTGCGAGATAATTTTTGACGAAAGTTATGCAGTTAATGTTAAAATAATTTAGTTTTAAATGAGTGGATCTTCTTAAAAGCTACATATGGTGGCCATGCTGGGACATCCCTGAGCATCAACCGAGGCTATATTTATAAGCATCGTCAACAGAGAGAGTATTAATGTTTTATTTAATTCAACATTTAATTTATTTAATAATATGACACATCTCATTTGTGCATTAATGGCTGTTATTTTAATTAAAGCAAGTTTCTTGCAGTCTTGCAGTTCTCAAAACGCCCAAAGATGGTGCATTTATTGGTGTGTCCAATACTACAAAACTGATATTCGTTTATGGAAACATGCTTAAATATCAGGGAAAATATCGGTTGAACCGATTATCGGCAATCTACATTTATAAGTCAAATCAAACTGGACAATTCTTATTGTTTTCATGGAATATTACAGTGTTTATTGTAAATGATTTATCTGTGCACATCATTTATAAAGAGTTCCTGCATAATCTTTCATCAGAAACGACAACGCTTTTCTGATGACTTGATCATTAACGTGAGGGCAGAACAATAAGGCTTTCTGACAGCCAGAGGAGTCTGACACCCACATGAAACAATCACAATTAGGAAACGACAATTATCCAGTCAATTCCTGATAAACAAAATCAAGTCCTGTCCCGTGAGTGGACGATCATAATTTCTGTTTCAGACCGACTTTAAATGTAATTTGTGTGTATGTGTGTATTGGCACATGGCGGAAGGTGCATGTGTCGTACCAGGTTTGACGGCACTGATGCCAAACAGCTTCGATTTGAATGAAATTTGAGAGTTTGAAACATTGAAAAATCATTGATGGATAATCAGTAAAATAGATAGAAAGATGTATCTGGGTGTCATGCACTCAAGTGTCTAATAGCATCTAGCATGAAGTAGCTAATAATGTGTGGTGTGCTGTGCTATGATTGGTCACTTTCAGTAGCGCGCTCTTTTAGAGAGGCAATCATAACCACATTTCATTTATTTCAATGAGTCATGACCACATCTGCTGTTGTACTTAATGAAATGCATGAGAGCTGCTTTGTATTGGTAGTTGGTATATAAAGTCAACAGAACATTGTAAACACAGTCCGACATCTCGACTGCAGCTGTAGCCAGACAAAGACGCACAGTGAGCGTCACAGACGGCTGGAAGATCTGACCGTGTTCAGGACGGTGTGTTTGGAGTGTGTGTGGGACGTCGTCTCATTCAGACAGTACTGGGTGTGTTCACTCCGTTGCTTGTTTGCGAGGTCCATTTGCATGGTTTTGCATCTGATATGCCACAACCTTTACATGATTTGCATTCCCATTCAGAAAACACCACAGAATTCAATGAAAGTGTTTCTAGGGTCTTGGCCTCCATCCACCATACTGTAAGCTTCCCTCACATATCCCACACACACACAACAGTCACTTACTGGGGTCTAAAGGAGACATTCATGGCTGAGAGTCACTGTTACACAGTACTGACACGCTTAAACATGTTTGATGTTGTTGCAAGGGATACAATTAAGTGACATCTACAAAGAAATTATACTAGAGCTTTTCTCAAAACTCACTGAAAACTCACTTTTTAGAGATATTATGCAGTGCCATTTAACCATGCTGCAGTGATTTTAGTGGATGTGTTCACACAGGAGCCCTAGAGGAACCACAGGTGTAGAGAATCACTTTAAACCAGAAGACCTGCTGTATTATTATGTTAGATATGCAAATTTCTAAGGACTGTAAATTATCAACATGATCAAAACTTTGAAACCTGTTGAACTCAATCTGCTACATACTTTCAGTTGTCTGATAGTTTTTACATTTAAAGGGTTAGTTCACCTAAAAATGAAAATTAGGCTGTGTTTTACTCACCCCCGAGGCATCCTAGGTGTATATGACTTTCTTCTTTCAGACGAGTCCAGTCGGAGTTACATTAAAAATTGTCTTTGATCTTTCAAGCTGTTTAATGGCAGTCAGCGGGTGTTGCAGTGCTTCAGTCCAAAAGAACTTAAATAAAAATCGCCCATCCATAAAAAAAAGTGTCTTACATGGCTCCGGGGGTGAACAAAGGCCTCCTGTAGCGAATCGATGCGTTTTTGTAAGAAAAATATCCATATTCAAACCGTAATAATCACTTTAATGTAGCTTGCGCCAACAGTTGTACACGGAAGCAGCTCCGAGCGGATGACGTATGAGTTCAGCGCTGCGCATGCGCCGGTGAGTCTCGTGAAAACCAACGTTTGTTTACAGGATCAAAGGAAGCAAAGTTTCCTTACTTTAGCAAAGGAAAACCAGTCTCCTCTTGGCTTATATCGAAATCCTCTGACATTCTTCTTTACAAATCCTCAATTTGTACTTCTAATTCTTGACCGTTGTTTTGTTTTGATCTCTCCGCTGCGTTTCCGTGTTCGTCACTTCTGAGCGGCGCATGCGCAAAGCTGTGCAAAGCTGAACTCATACGTCATCCGCTCGGAGCTGCTTCCGTGTACAACTGTTGGCGCAAGCTACATTAAAGGGATTATTACGGTTTGAATATGGATATTTTTCTTACAAAAACGCATCGATTCGCTACAGGAGGCCTTTGTTCACCCCCGGAGCCGTGTGAGACACTTTTTTTAATGGATGGGCGATTTTTATTTAAGTTCTTTTGGACTGAAGCACTGCAACACCCGCTGACTGCCATTAAACAGCTTGAAAGATCAAAGACAATTTTTTATATAACTCCGACTGGATTCGTCTGAAAGAAGAAGGTCATATACACCTAGGATGCCTCTGGGATGAGTAAAACACAGCCTAATTTTCATTTTTGGGTGAACTAAGCCTTTAAGCGAGTAAAACGCCTTTTAGTACAATAGTGAAGACGTCTTCAGGTCGTGTCTTTTCGCTGTGAAATCTTTACTGATTTTTATAAAGTAAATGTAAGTAACTTTGATATTGTTAGTAATATTTCAAGATGAACATGTACTGTACTGAAGGGTTTACTTGATTATCCAGACTTTTTTTTTTTTTTAGAAAAATCATGCGAGTATCAAATATGATCACCAGACTTTTGAAGAACGTCAGTACACAGTAAAAACTACAAAGCTTCAATCATAAAATTGAGCACTAAATATATCATCTTACTAAGACATACTAAGACTAAGATATGTATGTTTATGTATTTTATGTAAGTGGTCTGTTATACTGTTATAAAACATCTAATTTATTTTCATTACAAGCTATCAGAATTTCATCTTACTTTTTAGCCATATAAATATAAGTAGCTGCACCAAATTTGATATATTTGTTCAGTCTGGGCCTCTGAATGAACCTGAGTTTGATCTCCATATGAAATGTGAGCCATAACAGCCTGATATTTCAAATGATACTCAACAAAAACACATTTGAAAACTTAGGTTCAGTAAACTCTTCCATTTAAAAATAAATAAATAATAAAAAAACTTTATTTCATATGTCAGGCTTTACAGGGTTAACTATGAACATGCTCCACTAAAGTTTGACAAACCATTTTGTGAAAAGTTTTGCTTGAAATGTGTCCTTATGCTATTTATTTTAAAATGCAATGCCACTTAGTTTGACAGCTTTATTATCTAAGTCATCATTATTTATTATTTAAAGTGTCCAGATATGTTTTTAAGGCCACCCATTTCTCTTTGAATCTGACTGAAAGCAGTGGGAAATCAATCACTCCCACATGCACTGCAGAGGAAAAGCACTTGAAGTACAATATGAGTTGACCGCAAGTCTGTTCAGATTTAAAATAATTTTTTGTCAATTCAGAGCAGTTCAGTTCAGTTTGATACACTGAACAGTGCTTCGGTTCAGCAGTTTGATTTCTTTTGCATGTCATAATTGTTTTACTTTTTACTGCAAAGCCTGTAATGGACTGATTGATGACAGGTTTCACTTGTAACAACTTGCTCCATAGAGTTTGAAAACATGCGTCTCGTCATAAAAAGAGTTTGAGAAACAGAACATGCAACTTTACGCAACTTCATCAGAATGTGTTTTATTCAGTTTTTATCTTTTTTAATTATTGACCAGCATGATTCACCAGTAAATAGTCATTTTTCAGGACTGATGCTGCTGAATTGGCAGATTTTTTTTTTTTCTGTTGTAAAAGCACAACATTACATCACTACATCCAAGTAATGTGAGTGGCTTTTATGCTTTGCAAACAGGCTGTAAAACTTAATCTGCTTGAGAGAACTAATTCATTTCCATTCTGTCAATTCTGTGATCCATTCAGGCCTCTGCTGCTCTGTGAAATGTGTTTTCCTCTCAGGAGCTCTCAGCTCTTATTTGTGAACTTCAGCTTGACTGTGTTTGTGTTTGCAGGCAGCATTTCCCTGGTAACACCATCCAGCTACAGCCCAGCCACCAAGATCACACTAGGAACAGTCAACTCCAATGTGGGAGCGCAGATGGTTAGTGTCACACAAACACACCAACAACAAACATGCACTTCATAGTGTCCCAAACACACAGATTAAACTAAGGCTGCTGGCGTCCTGATTTACTCTTGTGACCATTTTTGATGTATTCACCAGTTGGGAAAACTCTGTGTGCATCTATATGCAGTTTCAACACATTTTATTTCATGGGCATTTATGTTTGTTTTGTAAAGATTTTAAATGATTTAGAGGAACCATAACTGAGAATCCACTAGTATGCAAGAAGTAAATCTGCATTTTAAATCTGCAAAACACAATGCGTGTTTATTTTTAAATGCTATGATATAAAAAAAAATGTAATAAACATCAATATTTATCTATGTGTAAAGCATAAATGTATGTAAAATACTTCAGTAAACATGTTTATCAGTGAACTGATTCATTGAAATGCACCATTTGAGAGAAATGATTCACCAGAAATCAACCAAACGTCTCAATTCTGTTGTCATTTTTGCTATTTAGTTTTGAATCACAAACTGTATGAATATATTTTTGTCATAAAACTGTACTCACAACCCAAGGAGCAGATGTGAAACTGGACCAATGGCATAGTTTTTAGGAAGCTTAATGGTCACAAAAACAAAACAAAAACCAACACGATGTTCACAAAGAAATAAAAGGATTATAGGATTAATAATAATAGGATTATACACTTTATAATGTTCCATTTGTTAACATTAGTTAACTAGAACTAACAATGAAAATACTTAATAAGCTTAATATTAATTTCAAGATTTGCTAATACATTATTAAAATGAAGGGGGGGGGGTATTTTTATTAACTTAAACAAAGTTGCATTAACTAACATTAGCTTACAATGAGCAATACATTTGTTACAGTATTTATTAATACTGTAACAAATGTGTTGGTCATTGTGAGTTAATGTTAGTTAATTCATTAAAGTCAACTAATGAGATATTTTTGTTAAGTGTTACCAATAAATAACTAAACATTTTAACTTTGCCTGTCTTGTTCACAAATCCTAGCTCCTTGTGTGAGTTATTTGCATTTTGCATTTATTCATTCGGCAGACGCTTTTTTCCAAAGTGACTTACAGTAAACAAGCGAGTCATCATAAGATGGCAATAAACACAAGAAGTGTCCATTACACAAGTTTTCAGTCATCGTTCAAAACTATAAAAACTAGGACAGGAAGATATTAAGGGAAAATAAGAGCACATGTGAGTTATGTTTGTAGATGGGACAGTTGTGCTGCAGTTCTTGCTGTATCCAGTAGTGGGCAGTGAAATCCTGACAGTGATAGACTGGCTTTACTGCATGAGCTTGTCTGCTGTACATAGACAACAGATAACGAGAGGGGGATGGAGAGAGCAGGGTGTTTATGGGTCAGTGTGGCTGCACCGAGCTGAACAAAAGAAAGGAATGTAGAAAAGATGGAATCACACGAAGGAGTGAGACGTTGCTGTAAGAGGAAACCTAGAACGTCTGTCAGGAAGTAGCTTCTTTGTAAATGCTAGGGGTTGCACCGACTAATCGACTAGTCGACTTCAATGCTCTGTCATGACGCTTTAAGCTTGACGGTGTCTAGTAGCTGGTCCTATAGAGGGCGCAACAGGATAAGAAATCTTTGAAGGACTTCCACATTTACGCTCTGTTTCCAAACAGTTAAAATGACAAATAAATGCATACTCTGAAAGCGCTCCACAAGACGTGAGATTATATTACTGAATGCTCGAAATTGAATGGGAGAATGCACGTTTTAAACAGCTTGTTGTACAGGTAAGTTAATCGCCGTTCTAATCTAATGCGCTGCTGCACTGTAACGCACACACATTACAGACAGTAGCTCGTACATCACGCGCACAGAATCATTCAGCGTGGAAATGTATTGTCAACACTGTTCTGTGATTTCTCAATAAAATTGTTTAGAAACTGAAAAGTTCAAGCATATATTTCTTAATTATTAAATCCCACGGCTTCACTACTAGTAGAGAGACGCTGGCAGGTAGAATTAATTCACACACGCAATCGCTCTCACTAATGCATTCATATGAATGTAATCTTTACTGTGCTACTTTATCTGTATCTGATTTAGAACGAGCAGAAATCTGTGAGAAAGTTTGTCACAGCCCCAGACTTATTTGTTCATTAATGACGTCATCAGCGACTAGTCGACTTCGACTCGACTTTCATCACATAAAAGTCGACTTCAAAAAATCAGAAGTCGTTCAACCCCTAGTAAATGCATACGTTTAAAGGTGAAATGTGTGTTTTTTTTTTTTTCAGTGCTAAACTATTTCATCCTATTCTAGCTTAACAGAAAACTACAATTAAGCAATTTTTAGGTCAGCTTCCTGAAGAATGTGATGGCGGAGGGGCAGTGAAAGGAGCTAATGAGCTTATGAACGAGTGGATGGCATGAGAGACCCTCGTTAAGACCCTCACTCGCTCGTTGTTTCGATACGCACTGAGCAGATATCACTCACGATCACATCCTCCACTCTCAGTGTCACCCTTATATCCATTAACACACCAGAGACCGCAGTAACAGGGTGAGAGAGATGCTACGATTGCTTACTGTATACTGCTACTGTAGAAGGTCAAACGTATGCAGTGATACACATTTAAAAGAGTAGTATGCTGCATGATCCAGTGACGAAAAAGAAATGTTGCCTTGACAGCTAACTAAAATAAGTTAAAGTACTAAAATGACTAAAACTAAAATAAAATAAATGAAAACATTTAATTCAATCAAATAATTACATTAAATCAAATGAATCAAACTAATATTAAAATATATGGAAAAAAGTAATAAAAATTATAAACAAGCATAAAATTGCTCAAATTAAAATGAAAACTGAAAATATAAAAGTAAAAGCTATTTCAAAATAAAATAAATACTATAATAATATATAAATATATTATATATAACATAAAACTACTACTATATTAAAAAACTACTAAAATATGAGACTAATACTATATATATAAAATACTAAAATGACACTATGTCAGTATTATGTTGCATGCTTGAATTTGTCAGTTAGCATATTATACATGAAACTATTTAAATGCAATTCATGCATAGATTTTGAAATTTTTCATTTGAATTAAAAACATTTTTTATTTAAATAATAATGATTATAATAACAATAACAATTAATTTCATTAATTTAAACGAAGTTGATATATCAAATGATGTTAAAAATTTGGGGCTGTACTTGTAATTGCTCATTCATTCATCACAGTGGAAATGTGTTTTGTCAGTTTGTACATAAAGCTATATAGAAATATTTAATAAAATAATAATACAAATGACAAAAGCACTTAAGAAAGTTACGACAACCTAAGCTAAAATAAAACTGAAAATAAGCCAAAATGTAATTAATTTTACAATAATATATAAATAATACTAAAATAACAATGACATGAACACATTATACTGTAGGGCTCCAGACTGCGACCATTTTTTCTGCCACTGCGACTAATTTTTGTGAGCGGTAGCACTGGCGCGACCACCGCGTTGTCCAACTCATAAGCGTTGCCATTTCTGTTGCATTTGAGAAACAACAAACGCCAAACGAAACGAAAGCGAAACTAAACCGAGCTACATTTCAGCTGCGCCGCGCGGACCGTTTATCAGCTCGCACCTCGACACAAACAAACTTGTCCGAGCTCAGAAGAGCTTTACTCGGGAGCCAAAGTTGATTTCGCGACACTGCACAGATGCAACAGTGCTACGAGATCCAGTGAGAAGCGTTTGAATTCGCCGCACAGTGATAAGGTTGCTGCGAGATCTAGTGAGAATCATTCAAATTCTGCACAGAATTCTCTGTTATAAACAGCGCTGACATACGTCAGGAAACCAGAAGCGATAACGCTAACTTTAACCATGGTGTTGTGGTAGAAATAGTCAATGCATTACATCATTCATTTCAGGGTTTGTACAACCTTTTGAGAGAGAAATTCAAGCACTTTTCAATGACTTTCAAGCATTTCACACAACTATTTCCAGCACTTTAAAGCTCTGTTATTTGTTATTTATAATGGGATGACCAAAATATACTTTGTGGTAAACAATAGAGGTCGACCGATTAATCGGCCGATTTTGGGCATTTTTTAATTAATCGGCATCGGCCGATTGTGCTGCAAATTAGGCAGATTTATAGGCAGGCGCACTGGCGGGCAGCTAAGCGTTGTTGCAGAACTCCCTCTGGCTGCGTGAGACGGAGCAGCTCACACTCTGCAGGCTGCAGCAGCCGCGACTTGTTCACACACAGCTTCAGCTAATGGCAGGGCAAAACAGACCGTTTCGAAAGTGGGATTACGTTTTACCCTACTAGAATTGATGCCGGAAAGTTATCATATTCATAAGTGCAACAAGTTCAATTTCAAAAGAAACACGTTCAATTCAGACGAAACTTCTGGGCTGATTATAACGTGCACGTTAACTTTCCTCATGAAATGTGTCTGTGGGTCCGACAATAGCCTCCACGATGTCATCGCTCGTGGCCAGCGCACTCTTAAGCAGTTATGAGCAGCAGGCAGTGCAATATGTGTGAAATCTTTTATTTATGTTATCACTTGGCCATTTGACTTATAGCAGTGTCCAGTGTTTCCTATACATTGAGTTATTTGTGGCGGCTCGTCACAATATCAAAACTTATCGCCACAAATAGATTTCCCAAAAGGCTTATACTTCATTGAATAAATGATTTGAGCAATTGCCCTGCTATAGGTTATTGGCTGTGCTAATCCGACCGTCTTCAGAAAAGCTTCGATGTCATTTTCATTTCGTCTCTCCTGTAATGCCTGATAGCGTTTGTGAGCAGCGATTATTTGATTACAGCCTTTACCGGGGAAACTGCTATATCTCCAGCTCCCAAAGCGCCTCCTGCTGGCAGAGAATGAATTTGCAGTCTGTGAGAAACACTGGTGTCTGTCAGCAAACATAAACAAAAAGCATCCTTCAGAACTGTTTTGAGAAGGTGCTTAAGTTTTGAGCCATGTATTATTACTCTAAATTGGGCTACTACTACCATTACTATTTTGTACCCTGCAATAATCATTTGCTCAAACTCACTTTTATGAGATGAATGGGGAAAAAAAAGAAAATCGGGCAAATATAAATATATCGGCTGCTCTGATTTCTAAATATTGGCATCGGCCAGTGAAAAGCCCATATCGGTTGACCTGTAGTAAACAAACACTTATGTAAAATGTAAAAAATACATCAAATCACAATTATAACCAGTAGACGGCAGCAGAGGAGCACTTATTGGCTTATTAGCCATTCATTTCTACATTTTGTAGCTTAATATTTTGAAATGATAAAATCACTATTATAAAATATCAAATCATCAAGAAATCAGATTTTGTCAGAATTTTACACTTTTTTTGTGTATGAAGAAAAGTCACAAAGTGCCTTGAAAAACAAACTTTTCTTCAATTTGCTACTAAATCACACATAATCACTGAAGTTGGTCAGTTCCATATACTAGAATAATGGTACATTTAATAAGAGTGGAATATATAATTTTTCTATATAAAAATTAGATTTTGCACCTATTACTGTTGTTAATAAAAGTAAATTTTGTATGCATCTTAACTCAAGCTTAGTGCTTTACTGTCAAATCTGTATAAACAATAAACAAAAGAAAAATAAACAAGAAATTGTCATGTAATGTTATTAGTAACTGCACTTATTAATGCAAAACGATAGTAATTTTATGATTAAATGATCTATATTTTAATACTCCCGCACACCACCCCCAGCGCTACCAAATCTGCTTCTGGCGCCACCATTTGTAGAACTTAGTGGCACTGGTGCCACTGCTCTCAATTGGTAGTCTGGAGCCCTGTACTGCATGCTTTATTTAATTTAATTAATTACATTTTAATTTTAATTAATGTCAAATTACTGGATTATATTATAAAAGAAACAGTTCTATATATTAAAGCAATTTATACGTAAATATTCAAATTTTTTTATTAGATTTTTTTTCCCCCTAATAATAAGTTGAATTAATAATAAATGTAACAAACTGTGGCTGTACCGCTTGTTCACTATTCACTGCATAGTCGGATCCAGTATTCAGTGCAATATGCTGGATGCTGCACATTTTGACAAAAATAGCAGATGATCCGATGCATTCCATTCAACCACACAAAGTGCCTGCTATGCACTGCACACTGCAGAGATGATGGAGAGTGCCGTTCCCGATACATCCTGAGGAGCAGCAGGAGGATAAATCATCTGTGAGGCAGCGCTGATGGATGAGGATGTCCTTGCAGTGGTTGGGCTGCAGGAGGCGTTTTTGCTCTCCCCAGGGGCTGCAGCACACAGATTCAGGTTAGCAGAGAGGCTGCTGGATAGAAATGCACTCAGGGAGGCCCTGGTACAGCAGCACAGCTCATCTACATGTGCTCCAGAACAGGTGCCTGTCAGCAGCGCTGGATTGGAGGTCGCCTGAAGCACAGCGATCTGTTAGCGTTCCCATTCATCTCAATGGCAGGCACTCGCTGGAAGCGCACAACCTGGATGCTGCCATCTTTGAATTATGGGGGAGAAACAGGTTTATTTCTCCCCTAATGGTGCAGTTACGGCATCTGCCAGACTGCCAAAACAGCCGGCCAAACCCAATAAAGCACAGTGATACTCTCTACTGGTCTTAACTTGTCTTCAGACAATCTTCAGTTAGGATTTGCATAACCCTGCACTTGTTTTTTTTTCTCTGCAGATTTTAAGCACACCGCAGAGAGAGTCTCATCCTGGAGGTATCCTCATCGGCAGCCCGTTTACGCCGCACACAACACCGGTGGCCATGGTTACTCAAGCGCACCCTCCCGAGGGCGACGAGTGGACCCCGGGGTGAGAGAACACACACCCGTTTCTCATGCAAAGCGCACCCTACATGATGCCACTCTACTGTCCTCATGTGAAGTGATGAAAAAAAAAAATTTGTTCTGTATTCCTTTTTTTTTTCTGTGTTCCATTTTAATGATTGATGTAAATTTTTGTAAAAAGCAAAACACTTCTAATTAATTGAAATCATTACAATTTAACATCAGTTTCTTAAAAGTTTAATAAATTATATATTTTAGGGCCTTGTAAAATACATTACATTTTTTCCCAATTGGTTTTTTTTCCCCGCTTGAATTATGTTTTTTTTTTTTTTCATTATAATTTTTCTGGATTTAATTTTAATGATTAAAGTCAATTTTAGCAAGAAAGCATTGTATAATTAATTTAGATAATTAAACTTAAACAATTTAACAAAAAAATAATGAAAAGTGTAATTATAATTATATTTTATTTTTTTCCCCCAAATTACAGCTTTATTTTTTCTCAAATTCTGTGTTCCCCTTTTTCTTTCTGTTTTAATTGTTTTAATTACGTTTTCATGCTAAAAAGCATGTCTAATCAATGTAATTTATTATTATTATTTTTTTATATTTATATATTTATTCTGTGTTGTCTATTTTAATTTGTATGGTTTTATAACAAAAAAAATTGGTAATCAATTGGCATAAAATATTAAAAATGTACTATTTTCAAATATAATCAAATTCATTTTTAACAATGCTTTTTTGGGGAAACAAAATGCTGCACAACAGAGGGTTACTGTTCAAATTAAAACTTGGAAGTAAAATTGTGATATTCCTTAAAAAAATAAAGTTGTAGTCCTTTAATAATGCTGAAAATAATACACTTGTGCTGGAGTATGTGTAGCAGCTAAAGCTGCAGCACTCACTCACTCACACAGAGAAAGAACAAACAGACTTCATATTTAAATAGCAGTCTTTTCACGGTTTACCACTGAACGACAATAGTCTGTTTTAATCAAATCATGATGTACAGCCCTACTTTAGATTTAAAATTCTGTGACATTCTACTGTAAATTCCATTTTTATGGATTCCGTGATTCCCTTCACACTGTGATGTAAATTTGAAAATGAAAGATGTTTCTGCTTGAGTTTTTGAAGAACATTGACTTGTTGGTGTTTAACCTTATTTAAACCTTATAAAAGCCATATATATTTTATGCAGAATAGAATTCAGATATTTTTGGCAAACTCAAACTTTGTGTATTTGTTGACTAATTGTGGCCTTTTCGTCGTAGAAACAAAAAAAGGACACATGACTACATTGATTCCTATTACTCAGACAGGTGGGCATCTCTTGCCGCGTTTTACATTTTTAAAAATCATGTTTATAATGTTTTTAAAAATTGAAAGTGATTTTGTATAAAAAAATAAAATAAAAAAAAAACGTATTATAGAGAGTTAGAAAAAAAAAGAGTTGTGACGTTTCAGCAGAATGTGTGGAAATATTAAAATGTGTGTTTTACAGGGATGGACTGTGTTCGAGTGATTCCTCGTCCAGGTAAACGAGTTGTGTTGGGGGACGCTGGGATTAAAAGCCACACGTCTTTAAATGGATGTGTGTGTGTGTGAGAGAGAGAGAGAAGGAGAGCGCTGTAGTCTCACTAGGATTTATGAGGCTCAGATGTTCTGCAGGACGGTGGAGGATCACAGCTGCAAACCCAGTTGTGTTTCAGAGCTCCTGTGTCCTTAATGAGTTTCTCTGTTAACATACAGACACACTCACTCTCACACACACACACACACACACTTCTTCAGCTGCTTCTCTGTCTTAATTGAACATGATTAATGTCGTGTTTGCATCTGCGCTCGACTCTGACGATGAAATGGAGCAGCAGTGGTTCTCTGACAAACTCAGTGCTACATTTCACAGAGAACGCTGTGCTATCTGCAAGTGTTCATGTGCAGTGCTGTATTAGTTCCTCTCCATCACACGATGTGTTACTGTGGTGCTTCTCTGTTCGGCTTGTTGGACACTGAGTCCTTAATGGTGCTGCATGTAATTTTTTTGACTGTTCTGATGCATAAAAAATACCATAATATGTTTACAGATATTTAGGAAACAAGCTAAGTTCACATACATGTTTCTCCAACAAACAAGCTACAGCCAGTTATTCTACTTAGAAATGTATGTTCTGTGATGGAATGTCTGTTTTTGTTTTGGTCGGTGTGACTCCGTCCCAGTTTATTTCAAAACCTTGGGTTGCCAGTTGGTGGAAAACAGTGCATTGCAGCCATGGAAGCCAGCAAATGAACCAGTTCAGAGATCACGGATTCTACCCGACCTAAAAAGCCTCAGTATCCTTCTAAAATCCTCTCTGACAAGAGACGTATTAAAGTCGCTGCGTTCCATTGCTCTCGTACCTATTGCCTGTCGTCAATCTGGCAACCCGTGTGAGCGGGAGAAACAACTCTCTCTAATATTTAGAATTTGGACTGCTGTAGCCATTTCAGCCTCTAGCTTTTAATATTATATACTGCACTTTTAATATTTCTTTACATAATCATCAATATTATTTTTATCTAAATATTGGCTTTTACATATATAAATCAAGTTTATGATTAATTCCTGTTAATGGGACAGTTCACCCCAAAAATGAAAATCCTGTCATCATTTACTCACCCTCGAGTTGTTCCGAACCTGTATGGCTTTATTTCAGCTGTTGAACACAAAAGATGATATTTGAAGAAAGTTGGCAACCAAACAGTTGACGATAGCCATTGACTTCCATAGTATGAAAAAAAAAAAAAAACCAACAGCAACATGTTTGGTTACCAACATTCTTTAAAATATCTCCTTCCATTTTTCAGTTCCCGCACTATATGCACATTTTTTTTAATTTATGTCACCGAAAGCAACATATCACTGCATTGTATTATTGTCTGCTGATTTCAAGCTCAAAGACCGCAACAGCGTTCACCACTTTTAATTAAGTTAACTATGGATTGAACATGCAAAGATTCCCCAGATTGAAGATGTGACGCTGAACAATGATTTTCATTTGCATCATTATCTGTGGAGATGCATGTTGTGGTAGCGGGGAGCCGGTATAACACACTTTACACGTGTCCAGTTGTGTCAGGAATGCATCTCAAAAAACCTCCTGAAGTGGTTTATGTGACCAGATTACAATCCATCTCAAATCTGTTTCTGAGGGCGTTTATGCCTGGTCTTTTCGCGATCTGATAGCTGTCTGATCAAAGAAAACATATGGAGAAGTGTCAATAGGCCAGCGTGCATATGTATATAGCAGTTTATTTATTTATTAATATTTTCTCACTAAACACACTCGCTTAATATATTGGTTTGTAATGGGATGCCCATTTTCCACAAGTTGATATGATTCTTTAGGGTCTTAATGAAAAGTCTGTAACCTACTTTGGTTAAAATTTCTCAATGGTAGTGTAAAAACACCTTTTTTCAGAGCGATCCGTTTTATAGCATATTCCTTTAAATGTTAATGAGCTCTGCTGACCCCGCCCCTCTCTTCCAGCTGCTCTCAGAGAGACTGTTTACTTTAGCCGCATTCATTGTGAAACTTGCTAATTAGCACATTATTAGGAAAGGCAATTTGCAAAGATTCATTACAAAACCTTATACTCACTTCTTCTGTAGGTGAAGCTGGATCACGAATAATTCACGTGAACATAGATGCATTTAGGTAGATCGGGGGGCGCATTCCCTTCAAAAACAAAGGGAATCCACTGCGTCTTCAGCGGCTCAGATGTCAGGAGTAAATGATGACTGCTGTGTTCATTATTACATCCAACAACAGAACACCTCAATCGCTTAGGAGTCACCGCTCCGGCGGTGAAACAATGGTGGACTGATGACAGCTCACTCAGGGCGGAGCTAAGGTAAGACACCAGTCCAGTCTGTGCTGAAACGCTACTGTCAATCAAACTATCGTGGGAGGGGCCTGTCTGTGTGACGTCACACAGACAGGCATCTGAGATCAGCTCGATTTGAGAAAGGGGTAAAGATTTTAGTAGATTAAAAAAAAAACACTGGGTGGATTTTTATCATTATAGGGTGGTTGTGTACACACACTGCCAACACACATTTCAGTTCAAACAACTTGTAAAAGTGCATGTAGCATCCTATGACCCCTTCAATGACTAAATCACATTTTCAATAATATGTTTTTACGCTTTTTTTTAAATTTTTTACGGATTGAACCCTCTTTTATTTTCACAGTTTCCCTTATTTTACTCACATTTTTTACTTAGTTACTAAAAATGAGCAAAAATGACACATTTTTTAAATTGTATCTTCTACCCCAAAATAATTTTGATTTAGTTTCCAAAGCAGTACGAGCTCTGTGATGCGGTCAGGACATCCTGACCAGCCCGAAATATTGAGTTTGGGGCGGGGCTATCTGTTTATGACCAGTAACAGACAAGGGGGAGTGTTCAGGAAACCTGTTTGAAAACAGTCATTCATTTTACAGTGGTGCTTAATGCTGTGGAAAACACACTTCATCCTTAATTATTAAATGCATGCAATTTTGTATTCTGATTTAATCTAGTTATTTCCTGTTTAGGCCCACTCAAATTATAAATAGCTTTACTTTGCAATCAAGCACAGACACACATCGTTGCCCTTCTGTGACTCTCCTGAGCCTCTTCTCGTTTTTGCTGCATTCTGGCAGATGTGTCTTCTCCTGCGTAAAGGTCAGATGAATCTCCCTCCCCCTCCTCTTTTTCAGCCCTCCCTCTCTCTTTTCTGTCCTGAGACTGCATTTCTGTGATGCTGAAACACTCTTCACAGGGGGCACATCTCGGCACTGTTGCTAAGCAGAAATCGGTGTGTGTGTGCATGTATGTTACACACGAGGACCTGCGAGAGCCGCTCGCGTGTGTGAATGCGTGCGCTCTTCTCCGTCACAGAGCTGCGTGAGCATCCCTCTTATGCCACTGCAGTACTTTCAGTCAATTAGGGACGAATTTTGTTGAGCTGGGGGTCTGGAACTAATTTGTCCTGACGACTGAAACCCCAATCAGCTGCCGCTGCTCCCTCCCCTCTCTCTCCGTGTTCCTCCTCTCTCTCCGTGTTCCTCCTGTTTCCCCGCACCTCTCTCCTTCATTGAGCGCCGGTTACATAATTCACCCCACAGTGCAGTTGTGTTATTTATACTGCTTGCGTGTGAGAGAGAAAGAGAATGAATGAATTCTCCTCCGGACCAGTCGCGTTTGTGTGCTTGGCTTGGCACACCATCGAACCCTGAGCCATGTCTTTGTTTTATCTCTCACAAGCGTTTACACGCACCACATGCGTATGACATCAGACAGTGCATCTCCGCGTGTGTAACAACAGAGTAATTCCAGTTAGTGCGGCACGGCACGGATTATGTAACCCGCTGGTGTCTGTGAAGCCCAGAGTATACTTCAGTTTTGATGCAAACACTTGCGTATGCACACAGCGCCTTTCGACACGCACAATAGGAAGTCTCATCCTTGTTCAGCATCTGCAGTATTTCTCTCCAGAGGTTATGACTAATAAAATGTATTTGTACCTGTTTAAATTAAAGTTCTATCTCTTAACCCCTCACATAAACTCTGAAACGTCTCCAGTAGTCTAATTAGACTGTTTTTCGAATTCGAATTCGTTTTGTTTTTTAAATAAGTTTTTTATGCTCATCAAGGTTGTATCTATTTGATCAAAAATACAGAACAAATCTGTGATGTTGTGAAATACTATTGCAATTTCTAATATTGGTTTCCTATTTTAATATAAAAAAATATAATTTATTTCTGTAATGTAAAGCTGAATTTTCAGCATCATTACTCCAGTCTTCAGTGTCACATGATCCTCCAGAAATCATTCTAATATGCTGATTTATTATCAGTGTTGAAAACAGTTGTGCTGCTAAATATATATATTTTTGGGACCTGTGATATTTTTTTTTTCAGGATTCTTCAATAAATAAAAAGTTAAACAGAACAGCGTTTATTCACAATATTGTTACAATATACACAAGTTTGGGGTCAGTACATTGTTTAAGACAATACTTTTATTCAGCAAGGATGTGTTAAATGGATAAAAGAAATTATAGTAAAGACTTATATTGCTAGAAAATATTCCTATTTTGAATAAAAGCTGTTATTTTTAACTTTTTATTCAAAGAATCAAAGAAAAAAGTATCACAGGTTCCAAAAAAATATTAAGCAGCACAGTTGAACAGTTTCAACACTGATAATAAATCAGCATATTAGAATGATATCTGAAGGATCATGTGACACTGAAGACTGGAGTAATGATGCTGAAAATTCAGCTTTACATTACAGAAATAAATTACATTTTTTATATTAAAATAGGAAACCAATATTAGAAATTGCAATAATATTACACAATATTACAATTTTTTTCTGTATTTTTGATCAAGGCAAGGCAAGTTTTTTTATATAGCACATTTCATACACTATGGTAATTCAAAGTGCTTTACATAAAAGGAAGTAAAATAATCATAAAAAAATAATCAAAACAGTAAAACAAGGAATTTATTTAAAAATTGATTTAAAATGAATTTGAAACTATTAGAAATAAAAATGATTATACATAAAATATAGTGCAATCAGTTCGGACATTGCACAGTGCTCATTCAATAAATGCACAGCTAAACAGATGAGTTTTGAGTCTGGATTTAATTGTGGCTAATGTTTTAGCACATCTGATCTCTTCTGGAAGCTGATTCCAACTGTGGGCAGCATAATAACTAAAAGCAGATTCCCCTTGTTTTGTGTGAACCCTTGGTATTTCTAACTGACTCGATCCTAATGATCTGAGTGGTCTGTTAGGTTTATATTCAGTGAACATATCTGCAATGTATTTAGGTCCTAGGCCATTGAGTGATTTATAAATGAGTAAAAGTACTTTAAAATCAATCCTAAATATAACTGGGAGCCAGTGTAAGGACCTGAGGACAAATAAATACAGACTTGATGAGCAAACTCCATTAACATACTTACTGATCCCAAACTTTTGAACGGCAGTGTATGTGTGGTTAGAAAAATCTGGCTATGCATGTACAATGCTGATGATACAATTTACGTTATGCATACTGTTCGCGTACTTTAGCATACACGTAAAAACTCTAGTATATTTTGTGCTTTTATGCTGAGTTCACACTGCACGATTTTCAAAGTCTTCGGATCACCGTTGTTTTCACACTGCACGACTCTCTGGGGTAGCATTCAGTTGCTGCTGTGTTCACATTGCACGATGGATCGGCGACAGGAGGTTACACACTCTCTAGTATATTTTGTGCTTTTATGCTGAGTTCACACTGCACGATTTTCAAAGTCTTCGGATCACCGTTGTTTTCACACTGCACGACTCTCTGGGGTAGCATTCAGTTGCTGCTGTGTTCACATTGCACGATGGATCGGCAACAGGAGGTAACACACTGCATGACTTTACAATAGGAAGAATCACCGACAACTCTGTAAAACTACGTTTCACAACCAAACGCACACGAGAAGTGATAAGTAAATAACCCAAGATCACACGTGAGATCAGAGTTCTCAGAGTTTGCCGACATGCCAAATATTTCACGGGCGCCAGCGACGCGTCTGCGATTCTCTCACATCGCATCTTTGATAATTCACGCTGCGTGATTGTCACTCACGTGAACGAGCACCGATTTGCCTCCGATTTCGGCCATTTGTCTGCAATTTCGAAAAACCTGTCGCCGAGTGAAAATCGGGGCTAAAATCATGCAGTGTGAACTCTGCATTAGAAAACTGCTAATGCTCCAGTTCTTTTTCATTCAAATTTGCTACTTTTACATTGTTTTTCTATGTGAACACGCTAGATGGACGTGTATGACCGTTGCACTCGCGTCTCACGTCTTTTGCAACGTCTCGCACATGAGTGCCACGTTTTTAAGATACCGTGTCAAGTTAAAAGAATTTCAACTTTTACACGCAGCAAAACAGTAGACCAATCAGAAGACCCCAGAGGCGGGGCAAACATTGCAAGCTTTTGTTTACAGTAGCAAGTTAGCATGGCAACTGTTGTGTTTGACTGCAACAGAGCAGAGGAGGCATTCTGCACTGCGCCATATATATATATATATATACTTTTTTTTTTACATTCCTGAGTGCTGCTTCTTGTGTTTTTAGACACAAAGATGCGTTCTGTGTGAACGGCCCCTAGCTTTTTTTCCTCTGCCGCCATCTTAAACAGTTTGGTTCACCTGTTGAGGCCGTCTAGGACGTCAGAGTTATTTCACTGGCTGAAAGAACTTTTAATGGGTATCAGTGCCTGTTAGAAACCCTACAAAATGGCTTTGTCAATAACTTTACTTTGCTGTTACGACCATTAATGTCTTCTAAAATTGACATTAAATAAACATTCACTCTGTTTTGTACATGCATTTTATAGCTCTTAATGTGAATGAACATATGTCAGACTTCTCCAATCATTTGGTCCGCTTGAACGCCGCCCCTCCACAATCAAGCTTGCATTAATTTTTAAGTGCAACCGCCCCATCTTAAAATACAATCAACAACTGTTGAATTGAACCAAGTCCCCACCATAACATATGCTACTTCCATTTATTTGCAAATCATTATATAATAGTATACAACCAAAGCTGTAGATGATTAAATCACACATTTAGGGTTTTTGTTAACTTAGGGTTTGCAAGGTAACAAATCCATGTTTTTTGTCACATTTTTGTTTGATCAGGCTTTACACACAGGAATTTGAGGCACACTCAACTAACAACAACCCTAACAACTCCCTAGAAATGGCCACAACATCATAGCAATCATCTTGCAAACCACCCAGAACACCTATAACAATCTAGTTTTAGATTTGTCTGGGTTTATTGTGTTTTTAGAGTCTAGTGCTTTCTCATGTGTTCTGTTTTATTTGTAACACGTGCACCATCCATCTCTCTGTACTTTATTCCTATTGGTGACAGAGATGAATGGACTGAGTGAATGAGTGTGGTTGTATCCATGCGACGGCGGCGCTGACGTCACGTTGAGTCACTCACTTTCTCTCTCACACTCATCATGTGTGTGCTTGTTATTATTTTAAAATCGCAAGACATTCTTTCACTTTTCACCCCAAATCTGAAAGAAAAAAAAAACTAAATTTTACATGAAGAAAATTAAGCCTATGTTATTATTATTATGATTTTTTTGCATTGTGACATTATTCTCATTATCAGTGGTGATTCTCGTTGCTGTAATATAGTATTTTTTGCTTCAACACATTAATTTTTAATTAAAAATCAGATCAGCATAAATTAAATTAAATACAAACAAGGCTATATTAATATATGCATTTTGACATTTTAATTGTTTTTTCACATTACATTAATGCGTTTTGGAGGGCTTTTGCATTACGGTAGTGAGAATTGGAAGGGGTTTAATTGTTATTAAAACAATGCACATGATGCAACAAATCTTATTGTTGCTAATGTTTACACTCTTCATTTTCTTTCTGCTAAGTTTTTTATTTTAAAATTTCCTTTTTTTTTTTTTTATTAAAGGGATAGTTCACCCAAAAATGTAAATTAGCCCATTATTTACTCACCCGCAAGCCATCCTGGGCATATATGACTTCCTTCTTTCAGATGAATCCAATCGGAGTTATATTAAAAATTGTCTTTGACCTTCCAAGCTGTTTAATGGCAGTCAGCGGGTGTTGCAGTGCATCAGTCCAAAAGAAGTGAAATAAAGCGCATGCATCCATAATAAAAAGTGTCTCACATGGCTCTGGGGGTGAACAAAGGCCTCCTGTAGCAAATCGATGCGTTTTTGTAAGAAAAATATCCATATTCAAAACGTAATAATCACTTTAATCTAGCTTGCGCCAACAGTTGTACATGGAAGCAGCTCCGGGAGGATGACGTATGAGTTCAGAGTTGCGCATGCGCTGGTGTGTCTCGTGAAAACCAACGTTTGTTTATAGGAGCAAAGGAAGCAAAGTTTCCTTACTTTAGCAAAGGAAAACCAGTCTCCGCTTGGCTTATATCGAAATCCTACATTCTTCTTTACAAATCCTCGTTTTTTACTTCTAATTAGTGACTGTTGTTTTGTTTTGATCTCTCCGCTGCGCTTCTGCGTTCGTCACTTCTGAGCGGCGCATGCACAACGCTGACCTCATACGTCATCCGCCAGGAACTGCTTCTGTGTACAACAGTGAGCGCAAGCTAGATTCAAGTGATTATTACGTTTTGAATATGGATATTTTTCTTACAAAAACGCATTGATTCGCTACAGAAGGCCTTTGTTCACCCCCCGGAGCCGTGTGAGACATTTTCTTTTA